TTTGAACCGGGGACCTCTTGATCTGCAGTCAAATGCTCTACCACTGAGCTATACCCCCTCTTCTTGCAAAAAGCAGGTGAATTCTTTTTACATCTATTTTAACATTTTCATACTAAAAATTGTTCATTGGTTCAAAATTAGTTTCTTCTTGCTAGAAGATACTGAGTTTATCAGTGAGGCGATACCAATCTGCCTTTTCTAGGCTCAGTTCCTTATGCACAGTTTCACACATCCCTTTCCCCAACAAGTCAGAGAACAACCTCTTGCAAAACCTTCCCCCAGTCTCTCCAAAGAGAAATAAAAACACCAGCTAAAAAGACACCTGCACTGAGAGGCCTGGCTGTATAGTCTAGTGCCCCTCCCCCTCTTTTCCTGCAGCACTCGCTATATGTCCCTCTCTAGGTGCAGGACATACTTTCAATAAAAAGACACAAAAGTTCTCACTGTCACTGAGTTTACAATCTACTGGGGACAGACGAAAGAAATGCACACGTGAATAAACAAGGAAATGCCCAGTAGTGATAAAGGAAATCATTAAAATAAAAAGCAAGATGTGTTAGGAAGGGACTAGGGGGCTATTTCAGGTTGGACAGCCATGGAAGGCTTTTTGAGCAGGTGATTTTTGAGTTAAGACCTGAATGACATGAAGGAGGCAGCCATGTGGCCATCTGTGGGGGGAGGGCTTCCGCATACAGGAAATGGCTACTGCAAAGACCCTAAGGCCAGAGTGGCTGGAGGAAGGTGGGATGGGGAGACTGATGCAAGAGAGCTGGAGAAGTAGCCAGGGCTGTGGAGGGCCTCATAGGCCAAGCAAGGTAAGGAGTTTGGATCTCACACCAAGAGGGTGAAAAGCCACTGGACAGTTTTGAGCAGGGAGATTTGACATCATCACCCAGACTACTGTAAGGAAGATTTGCAGGGAGTCAAGAGTGGCCCCAGCGAGTACATACAATGGAATATTAGTCAGCCTGAAAAAAAGAAATCCAGCAACATGTAAGAACGTGGATGAACCTTGAGGACATTATGCTACATGAAGTAAGCCAGTCACAGGTGGCCAAATACTGCATGATTCCAGTTATGTGAGGTATCTCAAATAGTCAAACTCATAGATGCAGAGAGTAGAAGGGTGGTTGCCAGGGACTGGGGAGGGGGAAACAGGAGTTGCTGATCAAGGGGTCTAAATTTTCAGTTATGTAAGATAAACAAGTTCTAGAGACCTGCTGTATAATGTTGTGTCTATAGTTAACAGTACTGTATTGTATGCTTAAAAATGTTAAGAGGGTAGTTCTCACAGTAAGTGTTCTTACCACATTAAGAAAAAGAAAAGGTGGGGCCGGCCTGTGGCTCACTTGGGAGAGTGCAGTGCTGATAACACCAAGGCCACAGGTTCGGATCCCATATAGGGATGGCCGGTTGCTCACTGGGTGAGCATGGTGCTGACAACACCAAGTCAAGGGTTAAGATCCCCTTACCAGTCACCTTTTTAAAAAGAAAGAAAAAGAAAAGGGCAGATCCAGAGACCAGACAGGAATCTATTGCAATAGCACAGGTCAGAGATGGTGGTGATGTCTTAGGCTACAGTGGCAGATTAATTTCCTATTGCTGCTATAACAAATTATCACAATTTATTTGCCTAAAACAACACAAATTTATTATCTTACAGTTC